TATTTTAACAGTAAACAGTTCTGCAGTTTTGCTTACCCCCAGTTTGCCTGGTTGAATTTCAGCTATTCTTCATTACTTTAGATTTGCATTTTATTCAAGCAAATAATTCATTTCTCACAACTTATTTAGAAGCTGAGTTTTAGATGTTTTCTAAACTATTCTTGATTCTGTTAAAATGGCAGGTGCTCCGCCCAAAGGGAAGGCCACTTGGCTCTATGGATGTTGTCATGATGACTGTCTTCACTCACTTTTGAAACCTCGACACCAGCTCTCTTTCTGATCAGTCACTGAGTTTCATTCTTTACATGGTAACAACATCTCTGCCATGTTTGTCTTCCTACCTATGCGTACAGGCTCTGCCCTGTTTTAAGCCCACATGTCTTTTTTGTATTTTAAGATTTTATTTACTTATTTTTAAAGAGGGGGGTGGGAGGGAGAAAGAGAGGGAGAGAAACATTAATGTGAGAGAGAAACTTCAATCAGTGGCCTCTTGAACATGCCCCAACTGGGGGTAAACCCACAACCCAAACATGTGCCCTGACCAGGAATGGAACCGGCCAACCTTTACCTTCTGGGATGATGCCCATCCAACTGAGCCACTGTGATCAGGGGAAGCCCACACTTCTTAACCAGACTTTCACAGTAGCCTTCCACCTAATTCCCCCTTCATTCAGGCATTCCTTCTTCCCATCTCACCTATGCTGAAGGTAGGAGGAGGCTGAATATTCTTTCTGAAGCATAGCCCTGAGTATGTCACTCCCAGCTCAAGGACCTACACCAACTCCACACTGCCAACAGAGTGAAGTCAGCTCCCACACCAGTCAAAGCCCTGGTTGAGCTTATGGATTGGCTGAGATGTGAGATGCTCTCTAAGTGTCCTTTCATGTTAGTTTCCCATCCCTGCTGTAAGTTACCACAAACATGGTGGCTTGAAACACCACAAATTTATTTTCCTGTAGCTCTGGACATCAGAAGTTTGAAACAGGGCTCACTAGCCTGAAATCAAGGTGCTGGCAGGGATATGTTCCTTCTGGGGGCTTCAGAGGAGAATCCATGTTCTCAACTTTCCCAGCTTTTCGAGGCCACTACATTCCATGGACTGTGGCCCCTTTCCTCTACCTTCAAAGCTACAAGTGTCAGACTGAGTTCTTCTTATGCTACCATCTCTTTGTTTGCCCTCTTTGGCCTCCCCCAGACTGCCCCCCAGGACAATGTCAAGTCATCTCTTTTGACCTTTTCTTGTGGGTAGGTCAGTGGTAGGCACTGACAGGAGATGGGAAGGCACAAAGAGTGTGACCTCTGGGTCTTTATTTTTCTGGCTTCCTTCCTGTTGGGTGTTTGTGGGTTGGGTTTCATTCCTCTTCCAAATGCCATAGCTTTCATGAAGTGACGTTCTTCACACGGCTTTCCTCTCTGGGTCCTGGCAACCACTTCCTTCTCATGCTCTCTCAGACCTGCAATGGTGATGTTTCCAGCTGTAACGGTGTGTGCATAGCTCTTCCTGGGTTTGCCTGGGACTTTCTGGGCTTCAGATGGGAAGTCCTGTGTCCCAGGAAATGCTGAGTCCTGGCCAAACTGAGGCAGGTGGCCACTCCACTGTTACTGGGCCCTAAATCCTGCCTAGTCCTTTGAAAATAATTTTTTCATTATATCTCAGTTCCCATTTTGTGTGTGCCGTGAGTTTTCTGTTGGGACCCTGAAAAAGCCATGTTTTCCATGCAAATTACCTCATTTTGCTGCATATAATGTGCTCCCATGTATAATGTGCACCCACATTTTGGGCCCAAACTTCCAGGCAAAAAATCTTTCATTTTAATTTTTAATTCAATTTTTTTGTATTTATATTTAGATACTTGTTTTTTGTATTGTAAAGGAATTTTGGCATTTATTTTTGAACATATTATGGCACAAGAAATTTTATGTAACAAATGATTACAAAACATAATATCAGATACAAGGTATTTCACTTACTACTCACATATAATGCGCATCCTTATTTTCCTCTAAAAAAATACAAATATGTGGAGTTTATCCTTGATATCTGCACTTCGGAAAGACAACTATGGCTATAATATGGAGAACCAGTTGAAGGGAGTCAAGAGTGAATGTCGGGAGACAGAAAGTTGTCAGGGTGGTGAGTCAGCTGTGGTTATGCCTGAACTAAGGCGGTGGGGATGGAGAAGGAGGAGAACAGAAGTGCTACTGAGGCAGGCACGGCAGGATAAGACGATTAACTGGATGCGGGTGAACGGAGGTAAGAGAGGAGACAAGGGTGACATACAGGCTGTTGCTGAGACCTGTGTGGACTGTGATGACACTTGCTGAGATGAGAAATTCTGGAGAAGGGTAGGGTTTGGTTTGGTTGGGAAGACTATGAGTATAAAGTTTTTCTTTCTGTGGCTTTTATTTTCAAATTATTAAAGAGGCCTCTGTTATGGATTATAATCAATACAAAGCTTATTGATTTGTTAATGTCCTCAGTTTGTGTGTGATAGGGCGTGACCATGGTTGCCATTATTAATGCTATGAAGCTCAGCGAAACCTAGCCTTTTAGGGGAAGCGTTCTTTTGTGAGTTTCTGGAGGTGTGTAGAACAAATCAACATGTACTTTATGAGAGTAAAAGACTAAGGTTGGACTGGGCCCTCCCTTTAGATAGAATCTTATGAGGAAGGAAGATTCCATGAAGAATAACTCTGACTGCTCTACTAAAATTCTGCCTTCAGCCCTCTGGATAAGCAGGCAGTGAACAGACTTTTGAATTGGTGTGTGACCTATGAGCATGTGTAACAAATGACTTTGTATATCTTGGGAACATTTGCAATTCTTGAGTGTCCATGTGTGACATTTAAAGGTGGGTAACACTTGAGTAAGTCCGGAGTTAGCTGGAGTCAATACTTGCTGGAATCAATATACCATGGCATTTGTAACATATCACAGCTCCTCCTAAATCTCTAGGTGCTTACTTTCTGCAACATATCATTTGCATTCTTTTGTTACGTAGTCCCAGCTGCTGCAAATCTCCTCATCTAGAAGCAGATTTTTCTACTCTGCGTTTTCGTAGAATTCAACTTGTATTTTCCTCATGGTGTGCATCATGTCTTGTCTTTTGTGATGGGGGTGGTTTGTATGCATGACATCTCCCCTAGAAGATGGAACAACTCTCAGACTCTGAGCCTGCACCCAGGCAAATCCCTGGGAGCTGTCCTATGGGTGTCTCATAAATTCCTACTGACTATTATTAAAGTCTCATCTGTAGCTATTGGTGAGTGATCTCCACTACCTGGCAATCTTGATATCCTGCTTCTCTTGCTTGAATATTAACTTAGAGACTCTTAGAAGCCCCAAGGAGGGCTCTCAGCCTTTTACTGCTGTCTATGGATGTGTGGAATGTAAGGCCTGTTTCCTTGGGCCAGCATGGAGGATATCCTATAGGAATAGTATTTTACCTCCAGTAGCTCTTTCCAGGTCTAGTGTCCCAATGTTCCATGAATGAACTCCAGATAAGAATCTTACGTTCTCTTTCTTTTCTATTTTTTTTTAAATTTAAAGCAGTCTAGTGTTTATTCCTTTGAAGATAGTCTTTTTCCCCCTTTTTTGTTGAATTTATTGGCATGACACTGGTTAACAAAATTATACAGATTTCAGGCGCACAATTCCACAACACATCACCTGTGTACTGTGTTATGCATTCACCACCCCAAGTCAAGTCTCCATCCATTACCATTCATCCCCCCATGCCCTCCTCCACCTTCTCCCTCCCGTCTTCCCCCTGGCAGTCACCACACTGTTGTCCATGTCCGTGAGTATTTTCTCTCTTTTTTTGCTCAATCCCTTCACTGCCCTCACCCAGTGCCTTCCCCCTAGACAGCTGTCAGCTGTTTATTGTGGTAAAATGCACATAATGTAAAATTGACATCATTTTTGACTGTGTGATTGGTTCAGTGGTATTAAACATACTGATTATTGTGCAACCATTTCCACCATCCATGTCCAGAATTCCTTTCATCTTATGAAACTAAAACTCCATGCCCATTAAAAAATAACTGGCCATTCCCCAACCTGACCAGCCTCTGGCAGCCACCATTCTGCTTTCTGTCTCTATGTATCTGACTACTCTAAATACCTCATGTAACTGGGGTCTTATAGTATTTGTGTTCTTATGACTGGCTTATTCCACTTAGCACAACATTCTCCAGGTTCATCCATGTTGTATCACGTGCTGGGATTTCTTTCCTTTTTAAGGTGGAATAATATTCCACTGCATGTATGGACCACATTTTGTTCATCCAGTCATCCACGGGTAGACATTTGGCTCACTTCCATGTTTCAGCTATTATGAATGGTGCTGCTGTGAACATCGTGTATCCTGACATTCTCTTTTATTTTAGGTTTGATTCTTTTTTATCCATGGCAGTCCTCAAGAGACAGGATGTATTGTATTTTGATCTGTGGGAAGACTGAGAAGAGGATTGTGTGTCAGTGATTGATTAAGGCATTGGGGGAAGTGGAATCAGGAAGAGGACAAAGCCATCACCTGTGATTTCAGGAACTCCCAAGAAGGTAGCATTAGCTTGATTGCAGAGGGGAACTTTGGAATGTAGATTAGGCTTCAGTGCTTTCCCACTGCAAAGCAAGAGAGCTGAGTTTGACACTCCTGTACTTTTTAGTCTTCCTCTGTAAACTTCTAGGCACTTCAGGCTTTCTGTGTTCTTGGGCAAAGTGGCTCCAGCAGCCCCAGGGCAGTCCTCCAAATTCGCTTTGCAAGTGTGGGCTGCTGGAAGCAAAAACACACCAGAGTTGGTGAAGGAGCCCACAGCAAGAGTAGAAGGGACCTGGTGGATTTGGGTAGCACAAACAATGTCCACTCCAGCTTCTCACTGGGAGTTTACATTCCAGCATCCTGGGTACAAACCATCATTTACATTGTCTCCTCCACGGTGTTTCCAGGAATCACATTATGAATTCATGAACTCTTCTGCCATCTTTTTGTATCACCATAATGGTGCATGTGGATGTCCTGGCTGATGCTCTCAAGAGTATCAATGATGCTGAAAAGAGAGGCAAACACCAGGTTCGTATAAGGCCATGCTCCAAAGCCATCATCCAGTTTCTAACTGTGATGATGAAGCATAGTTACATGGGTGAATCTGAAATTAGGGATGACCACGGAGCTGGGAATATTGTTGTGAACATCCTAGGCAGGTTAAACAAGTATGGACTAATCATGCCCAGATTGGATGTGCAACTCGAAGAGCTAGAAAAATGGCAGGACAGCCTGCTTCTGTCCCATCAGTTTGGTTTCATTGTACTGACAACCTCAGTGGGCATCGTGGACCATGAAGAAGCCAGATGAAAACACACAAGAGGGAAAATCCTGGGATTCTTTTTTTAGAGAAGTAATGTATACATGCGAATAAAATGCTTCAATGGAAAAAAAAAGAATTCATGAACATATGACTCCTAGTCACCTTCTGCCCTATGCCAGCATTTCTTAGAGGGATGGTTTGTGAAAGCCCAGACCAGATTTTCTAAATCACTCCTTAGCTGTCCGTTATTACCTATTATTATCTCTGCAAACCCCTCTGCTTCCATTGAAATTAGTTTTGAAGGTTGTTCACAAAGTTATAAGGTTTTCCTCTTATAAACTTTGGAAGAAAAACGTTTTGGGACAATATGACAGACAAGGGACATTATTAGTGTTATTTTACAAATTCACGAATACAACCTTGATTATATCAGTGCACATTTATACCAGTTTTCAGCTTCTAGGGACTTCCTGTGGCTGGCAATGCTTCATGGAGGGGAAGATGATATTAAAATCCACAAATCCATCTCTCCCACCGTGAACATAACTTTTAATTTGACAGTCATAAAAGTCATCAACTATAACCAGTGTTTTAAAGATAGAGGAAGTGAGGCAGAGAAAGTTAATGGCATTTCACTGAAGTCGTATTAACCCAGCAATAGATCCTTTCATTAACTACAACTTACTCATTTTCAGTCAAAAATAAATTTTATTCATGGGACATGGTTATTATTGATTAGCAATATGGTTTAACTTTCCTTAAGAACTTGTCCCCTTTCTAGCTTCCACTCTTTTTATTTGCCATATAAATTCCAGTTAATCCAAATGAGTTTTGAAACTCAGTAGTAAGACGGTGCTTTGTGCTGTTGGGGGCAGTGCTAATATTGTAGTCCAGGACACTAAGATAGAACTGTACTGAGTGAAGTTCAAATCAGACTCAGAGTCAGCCATTAAGTGACTTCTATGTGTCTTGATCTCTGTGAGGAGTATTTTTTGACTCAATCCATACAACATTCTTATGAGAAGAGATTATCAGTCCCAATTTTTACACTGAAGGTGGCAATTATGAAAGATAGAATACATTACCATATTACCACCATATCCAGAAACATCATTCTCCTAAGTCCTATGATCATCTGGAACTTCTCACTTCAGAACCATGTAATTGGTACTCATTGATACTTTGTCAAAACGGGGGAGAGAGATTAAGAAAATGCACGACCTATTATTAAAATCAATCCTTAAATATTATGGATATCAGAAGCAGTATTTATAGGGTTGGGGAATTCCCAAACATGTATTTTGGAGAACAAAGGAAGGTAGGAAGAAATAGAGATTAAGGGAAAAGATGATGGACTGCATAGGGCATCTTAGTTAGGTTTTTCCAGTGTAGCTCAAATTACCAGTGGAGTGTAAACACAGGGTAAACATGGACTAAACTAGCACAGTGCGTGGCATCTAATAATAAGTCAACTTCATTTTGGAGTCCTTGTGTATCTTTTTAAATTTAACATATGAACAAGCCCCTCCCTCTCACTGGGTGAGTACCCCAATGCCAGTGAAGACAGCAACAGCAGAAGTAATGACAATACCACCATATATTTTGATTCACTTTACACTGTACAGAGTGTTTTTGTGTAGATGCTCTCATTCGAGTATAAAAACAGTTTCAGGATTTATTATTCCCACTTTAGTGTTGGGAAGTCTGGAATTCAAGGAAGAGGAAGGACTTTTCTACATGAGAGCAGCAATAATATTAATAGATAATGTTTGTTGCTCATTAATTATAATGCTTACTTATTGGTAGATGGTGTGTGTCTATTGACATTCAATATTATTAGCTATTAATCATTAATATTTATTGGTAGCTCAAGGAATCACATACTTTGATCATCACAAACCTCTGATTAGGTATCACTTTCAAATTTTCCCATTTTCCGGATAAGGAAACTGAGACATTGGGAAGGTTGGCAATTTGCTCCAAAGTCTGGGATTCGAACTCATTATGTCTATGACACTTGCATGTTGGCTTAGATTCATACTCTGGCTTTTCCTCTGTCTAGCTTTGGCCCTTGAAATCCAAAGCTCAATATGGGCCCACTTGGTGGTTCCAATCCAACTATCTTGTAAGGGAAGAAAATTTAACAACTGTGCATGTCAAGTAATCTAACAATATACATTATACTGAACGTACCCAACTTTGAAATGCTGTGTACTGAGGGTATCTTGATGGGACAAACCGAAGCTATTGGTCAAGGGAACAGAAGACTTGTACCTCTATAGAGTCAGCCTTGCATTTGTTTGCAGCTGAAAACAATTATGAGTTCTTGCCATAATCAAGCAAACTGGCAATATGCTGTCAGCCAAATATCTAGAAACTGCACAATCAAGCCAGTCTCAACTTGGCATTGATAACAAATAAAGCTCCAGTCCAAAACAGATGCTTGTGTAGTTATGAGTAAGGACCTCCAGGTGTTTACATAATTTTTCAGCCCATAATTTTGGACATTGGGTAATTCATGTGACTCCAACTCTGACTTACTTGTGACTAAGTTTTGTGAGTCTCAGCAGGGACTACACTGATGGAGAGCTGATGCACAATTTGAAGTATTGTCACGTTGCGCTAATGGCTAAAAATTTTCTGCAAGTAGCCAGAATGTGTTATTGCACATTGATCAGACATGAAGATCGCTTAGTTTTAGCAAAATTCTGCTGGCCATGAAGGTGAAAACCATATCGTCAGAGTTGTTCATCATCATCTATGAGACAGACATTGGGCTTCTTTTAGCATGTGTGCGTGTGCATGCGTGTTGTCTTAAGACCAAAACCTAACCGATGTTCATCTGTGTCATTAGCGAGATCCAATTCGAATACTGTTTATAACTTTGTTATAATCGTATCTTCTGTTAGTTTAGAAAGTGTATGTTTAACTACAATTTCCAATACAGCATAAGAAGTGAGCAACTGATCTAGGGTTACTGCTGAGAAGCGCCAGTTATACAATTCAAATACTTCACATATACTAATAAATACTAAAGTAAATTATTCATTTTTGTACACTAGTGGCTTGAAATATAATAAAATAATTAGCTTTGGTAATATTAGCATAAGGCCTGTGTGTTCAATAGATTTGAATAAATATTTATTAATTTCTAAATGAATATATAAGCATAATCACAATGAATTTTTCTCTGTTATTTCATGCTATTAAAATAATTTGATTATTTGCTACAATATTCCAGTGTTTCCCAGCATGAAATAAAACTAGGCCAAGGATCACTAGATAATAAATTTGACTTATGTGACTCTCATAGTTTTTCCAGTGATTGAGCTAATGAGAAGAATGCTAGACTACTTCCAAGTTTTTATTTTCAAACAAGACAGGAATGCTTGGTGAATTAATTACAATTTACTTTAACAATTAAATATGAAAAGGTAACTATAGTGATCTAAATATCTAATTTTCTTTGATCTCTGCAAAGTTAGAAATTTTTGCAGCATTCTTCCAACTAAATCCATAAAATGTCATGCTAATTATGCTTGTAATGTGAATTTTGATGTGATTGTAGGAGCTACCACAGCTTTAGTCTGTATCATCATACTTCTTTCAAATGGCAATCAGAAAATCTGGAGATGTTTTCAACATAGGATCTTATTTCAGAAATCAACAGTATTCAGAACTGAGGCTCATAGGAAAAGATAGTTCTTATCATGCTGTGATTTAGGTTACTAAATTGGAATGAAATGTCCTACTCTAAAATACACAATTTGTTATTAAAGAAAATAGCTAGAGTTTCAGAGTACACAGCAAGAAAATTCTGTCTTTTAAAATTTCTTTATAATTATCCTTTTTAAAAGAGCTGTGATCTTCTGCACGCCTCTCTATTGCTTTGAGTGTCGTGCTCCCCAAACTACCCTATGATCAATAGTGAGATGAAGTTGTGGGTATGTAGATTTCGGTCTCCTACATGGTAAACGAGCTGATGAAGCAGGGGTTCCTTACAGAAGATGAGATCATGGTCCTCAGGCAGCATCCGCAGGAGCGCCACAGGACTATTTCACTCAGGCACCTCCCAATGCTGACAACGGCCTCCTTTCCACGTTGACTCTGGGCTATCTGTCACACACGTGTATAGAGAAAAATCTTGAAAAACCTCAGGGCCTTCCCAGTTCCTTACATGGGGAATGTTCTGAAATATGTCCTTAGTTGCTCCTTTCTGGCAGTTCTGTTTATGAGCTGATTCAGTACTAGCCTTTTGACCTGTTTTTACTGTTTGCTCGTCATCAACCCTTGGGTCTGATGGCACAATGGCCCCTCTGGTTCTTTTCATTCTTTTTCATGCCTGTGGCAGGCTGCTAGAACTTCCCTTCCTGGTAGAGAGCAGCCTTTGACATTTATCAGCAACCTTAGGGTATTAACTATTTTCATCTTAAGGCTAATCCAAGGCTAGTCAAAGGCAGAGAGATCAAGGGTGAGAATCTAGAGATACTAAAATCTTCAGAGTTTAGAGGAGCAGAATCAAGAGCTGACAAGGAACGAAGGGACAGTGGAGGGAGAGAATGTTTGTATCATAAACCAAGTTTTACAGCCAGAGAAGTGTTAAGTGTCTGGGCACTCTGTGGAGGTATGGACAGAATCCGGGAAGACTGTTCAGTTAGCAAGCTGGGTTGAAAGCCAAGGTCAGGACTCGCAGAACAAATGTGTCGGTTGGAGCAGGGATGGACTTGCTCAGAGAGCAGCTGGGGGACTGTTGGAACTAGGGCTTTGTCTCAGCTGTTTTTAAAATCTGCCTTGCCTCCGCATGTGGTGCAGCTCTTCCTACCCTCATTTCTTAACCACAAGTGGATACTTGCCAAAAATTAAGACTCATTTTGTGAGAAAACCTAAAATAAATTGTCTATCTGTATATGACGGGTTAAAAAATATTCTGGAGAAACAGATGGAGTCCTATATAAAGTAAGTGATTGTGGTGGAACTTTATAGGGTGATCTGAAGCAATTCTATGCCAATTGAAAACAAATACTTAGCTGGTTTCAAAGTTCAAGGA